CCCCATCAGACCACCAGAGACCCCATCAGACCCCCATCAGACCACCACAGACCACATCAGACCCCCATCAGACCACCAGAGACCACATCAGACCACCAGAGACCCCATATGAACACCAGAGACCCCATATGACCATCAGAGACCTCATCAGACCACCAGAGACCCCATGAGGACCCTCACTGTTTCAGGCACACACCAGCAGCTGAGTGATTAGCCACGCCCCCTCCTTTAGCAACCGCTGTCATGCCCCCCTCCCCCCCCACGCCCCACCTCCATGATGTGTGCGTGTGCGTGTGTGGCGTTTTGGATCCAGCTGTGAGCGTCCTGTGTTTCTGAGAGGGTCACGTGTCTCCGTGTCGGTGAATCGTCCTCATCTGATTATTTCCCACGTGGGTTTCTCAACGATAGCTAGAGCTGAATATTAAATGTGAACATGGACTTATTCCGTAGAGAGTTTCTGTAAACCTGTTGTGTTACGGAGAAGCACAAAGTGATTGTACAAAATATTGTGAATGTTTGTATATTATAGAGTGACTTTAGAATAATAAAACCGCGATCTTTAACCAGACAGGCCACGCCTCCATTTCTGACCACTCAGACTATATGAGAGTTTAAATATTTTTCGGTAAGCTGATAAATCCTCAGAGTTTAAGTTTCTTTAGTTTATAACAGAATTTTAAACGCATTAAAGCGTGTTTTGGGGAGAATTTCCATTTATTTACTTTTGAAATTACTAAACGAGGTCCTCAGACATTTCACCAATCAGAGGGCTCGTCGAGGTCTGATCCACGCGACGTCAGCCAATCAGCGGCTTTGTTTTGACCGGCCTCCGTCGGGTTCAGCTGGGCTGCTTCACTGGGGCTCAAACCTTCCAGCAGCAGCCGTCAAACCAAGGTGAGCCCCTCTGTCCCAGACCGTCCCGAACCGGGCCAGGTCCGGACCCAGCTGGAGCCGCTCAGCCGGGGCGGAACCGAACCGAACCGCCGGGGAAAAGCCGCTAGCTAGCCGTTAGCTGGATTAGCTCCGGCTCAGCTAACTAAGTAACCGTTACTTAGTTACCAGTTGGTTAAACGGTTTAAATCCTAGTCACAGCTCCTTCTCTGATTTTCTCCGTGAGTCGGAAGGTTTCTGAGATAATTATCTGGTCAGGTTGACGTTGTTTCTGGAGGCTGAACTGTCCGGTCTCTGTTAGAGTCCCTGAATTAAAGCTGAGGTTTGGCTCGGAAGTGATTTAGCTAAATCAGAAGTGTCGCTTATTCTTGTGTTATCTGCTAAATCTGTCAGTTATTAGAATATTAACCCTCCATTTGTAGCTAAAATCTACCATTCATGAGCAGACAGAAAGATCATGGGGCATCTTAAAAATAAATGAATATTTTAGAAGCTTTTAATCTACCAGAGTATGGCTTTTTAAATATAAATGAGTCTAAACATGAATTATCTATAGGGCATGTGGCTTCCTGCTTATTGCTTGACTTGGCCTCAGTTTTACTGGACCTGAGGACCCTAGTTCTTCATCCCTGTCTCTCAGCGCCGTCTCTGGGGTGTCGGCAGAGATGCCTCAGACCAACAAGTCTGTGAGCGGCGCCGGTCCGGCGGGCCAGGCAGCCCCGGGCCAGGACCAGGACCAGGACCAGGACGAGCCCCCACCTCCTCAGGACCTCAGCAGGGCCGCTGAAGACAGAGGAGCCCCCACGGACCAGGGGGACCCCCAAATCCTCAAATCGCCCAGCGACCCAAAGAAGTACAGGTGGGAGAACACCTGGAGCCTAAAGATCCAGTCCAAACTCTTTCATGTGTAGACACTGCCCTGGCTCACCCCTTGAGTTAAGTGAAACTCTTTCATGTGTGATTGAACAGATTTATCGAGCTGAGCAACGGCCTGCGAGCTCTCCTCATCTCTGACTTCAGCGGCGCCGACAGGCCAGGAGGAGGAGAGACCTCAGAGGAGGAAGAGGGGGGGGGGCCAGATGGGCCCGGTGAGGAAGACCCAGAGGAGGAAGAGGAGGAGGGTGAACGAGATGGGCCCTGTGAGGAAGACCCAGAGGAGGACGAGGAGGAGGATAATAGTGAGGATGAAGAGGATGATGACTCAGAGGAGCTGGATGACGAGATTACCTCCAAGAAGAACAGGAGCTCTGAGAAGCAGGTAACCTGTCAGATGACCCAGCGGCTGGTCAGGTGACCTGCCAGGTAACCTAGCGACTGGTCAGGTGACCTGCCAGGTGAGCCAGCGGCTGGTCAGGTGAGCCAGCGGCTGGCCAGGTGACCTGCCAGGTGAGCCAGCTGACCGGTGTGTGTCTGCAGGCCGCGGCCGCCCTCTGCATTGGCGTGGGCAGCTTCAGTGACCCGGACGAGCTCCCGGGTCTGGCCCACTTCCTGGAACACAGTGAGTGTGGAGTCCGTTCCTCCATGTTAGTGAGCCGTCCCCCCTCAGCTGCGGGGACTCCTGAGTGCGTACACGCCACCCTGCGTTGGCCTCTGGAGCTGCTGAGGGTCAGCTCCTGAAGGCCCTCTGCCCTCCCTCAGTGGTGTTCATGGGCAGTGAGAAGTACCCGGCGGAGAACGGCTTCGACGCCTTCCTGAAGAAGCACGGCGGCAGCGACAACGCCTCCACCGACTGTGAGAGAACCATCTTCCAGTTCGACGTGCAGAGGAGGTTCTTCAGAGAGGCTCTGGACCGGTGAGCGGGTTCTGCTGGGAGGTCCGGGATGCGCTGGAACTGAGGCTGAGCTTCAGAGTGTGTGTGGATCCTGTGTTCCAGGTGGGCTCAGTTCTTCATCTGCCCTCTGATGATCAAGGACGCCATCGACAGAGAGGTGGAGGCGGTGGACAGCGGTGAGTCTGCCAGCGGGCTGAGAGCTCTCTGGTTCTGTGCCTGCCTCATCTGTGGCTCTGCCCCCCCCCCCCAGAGTACCAGCTGGCCCGGCCCTCAGACTCCCACCGGAAGGAGATGCTGTTCGGCAGTTTGGCAAAGCCAGGACACCCGATGAGCAAGTTCTGCTGGGGTGAGGCTGCCAGACGCTGCTCTGATCCCGAGCCGGGGTCCGGGCCCATTCCGGGTCGCTGTTGGTTGAGCAATGATGTCCCATTGGCTGATCGAGCTCAGACGGAGTGTGTGTCTGCCGGCAGGAAATGCTCAGACGCTGAAGCACGGGCCCAAAGAGCAGCAGGTGGACACCTACGAGAGGCTGCGCGGCTTCTGGAGGAGGTTCTACTCCGCCCACTACATGACGCTGGCCGTGCAGTCCAGAGGTACCGACGCTGGCTCCGCCCCCTCCGCTGGCACCTGCATGCCACCACAGCCCCCGGTGATGTCATCAGTCTGACATCAGCCCTGTGTGTGTGTGTGTGTGTGCAGAGACTCTGGATACTCTGGAGGAGTGGGTCAAGGAGATCTTCATCAACATACCCAACAAGTAGGAGCCACGGAGGAGTGGGGGGGGGGGGAGGTGGATCAGGCGAAGGGAGTGGTTCCCCCTTTTTTTCAAATCTGTGTCTCCAGCGGGGAACCTCGTCCCGACTTCTCTGACCTGCAGGAGCCGTTTGACACGCCAGGCTTCAACAAGCTCTACAGGGGTCAGAGAGTTCTCCTCCATGTGGTTGTTTGGATTCGTTTGTCCTGTGTGTTGTTCTTGTTTGGCTGTGCGTGTCCTGTGTGTGTTGTTGTTGTTTGGCTGTGTGTGACCTGTGTGTTGTTGTTCGTCCTGTGTGTTGTCGTTGTTTGTCCTGTGTGTTGTTGTTGTTTGGCTGTGCGTGTCCTGTGTGTGTTGTTGTTGTTTGGCTGTGTGTGTCCTGTGTGTTGTTGTTTGTCCTGTGTGTTGTCGTTGTTTGTCCTGTGTGTTGTTGTTGTTTGGCTGTGTGTGTCCTGTGTGTGTTGTTGTTGTTTGGCTGTGTGTGTCCTGTGTGTTGTTGCTTGTCCTGTGTGTTGTGTTGTTGTGGTTTGTTTGACCTGTGCTGAGGCCTCTGCTGAACTGCTCTTCCAGTGGTTCCTGTGAGGAAGGTTCATGCTCTGACCATCAGCTGGGCCGTCCCCCCCCAGGGCAGACACTACAGGTGGGTGTGACTCGTGGCTCTGGTTCTGCTCAGGCAGCTTCAGAGGCAGACTCTGAGTGTGGTCCTCTGCCGTGTGTCAGGGTGAAGCCTCTGCACTACCTCTCCTGGCTGATCGGACACGAGGGGGCCGGCAGCATCCTGGCCCTGCTCAGGAGGAGGTGAGTCCAGAGCCCCGGAGCGGGCCCCGGAGCCCCAGGGCCCCCGGAGCCGGGCCGTGCAGGACTCAGTGTGTGTGTCCAGGTGCTGGGCTCTGGCTCTGTTCGGAGGGAACAGCGAGACGGGCTTCGACCAGAACTCCACCTACTCCATCTTCTCCATCTCCATCACCCTCACTGACCAGGGCTACCAGAACTTCTACCAGGTCTGCGCAGACACACCTGTCCGGGTCACCTGGGAGTCCCCGGGGCTCTCACCTGCTGGGTTTGGCCTCTCAGGGCTTCCGTACTCTTCTTGTGTGCAGGTCGCCCACTTTGTCTTCCAGTACCTGAAGATGCTGCAAAGCCTGGGCCCCCAGCAGAGGTCAGGCTCTGCCCCAACACACACACACCCCCATGAGAACCACCTGAGCCCAGGTCTGCCCAGCCGGGCCGGACCTCCTCAGTCCTCCACCTGTAGTGTCAGCCTGGTTCTGCTCTGGTTGTGGTACCTGGTGGGGAAAGGGTTCTCCAGGGCTCATCAGTGCTATAAGAGCTGGATCAGAACAGGAATATGTAGAGATAGTGAAGGTTCTGAGTCTGAATCCACAACCCGGACCTCCAGTTAAAGCACACGCTTTGTTTCAGGATCTACGAAGAAATCCAGAAGATTGACGCCAATGACTTCCACTATCAGGAGCAGGTAGAACAGAACACCGGATCAGAACCAGACGCTCATCCTGAGGGTCTCTGATTTGGCTCCTGAACATTAACGTTAAAGTTAAGCTAGCAAGGATCCCATGACCCTGACCAGGGTTCTCTTCCACAGACGGATCCCATCGAGTTTGTGGAGAACATCTGTGAGAACATGCAGTTGTTTCCCAAAGAGGACTTCCTGACTGGAGACCAGCTCATGTTTGAGTACGACCCCGAGGTAAAGCCAGACCCAGACTCAGACCCAGTCTGACCCTGACTCAGTCTGTGACCCAGACCAAGTCCCAGACTCAGACCCAGTGTCACCCTGACTCAGACCCAGACAAAGTCTGACCCTGACTCAGACCCAGACCCACAGACTCAGTCCGTGACCCAGACCCAGTCCCTGACCCAGACCCAGTCCCTGACCCAGACCCAGTCTGTGACCCAGACCAATTCCCAGACTCAGACCCAGTCCCAAACTCAGACCCAGTCTGTAACCCAGACCAAGTCTTTGACCCAGATGCAGACCCAGTCTGTGACTCTGACCCAGGCCAAGTCTGACCCTCACTGTGTGTGGTGTGGTCAGGTGATCGGGGCGGTGCTGTCCCTGCTGACCCCTGAGCGGGCCAACCTGCTGCTGCTGTCTCCAGAGAACGAAGGCCGCTGTCCACTCAGAGAGAAGTGGTTCGGAAGCAGCTACAGCTGCGAGGGTACGGCCGGAGCGGGGCGGGGGCGGGTCTGTGCTTCCAGGTCCGGTGTCCCCAGATGTTCATCTCACAGGGAGTCTGGAGCGGAAACAAAGAAGCTCTCACGCTCTGATTCCACCCTCCGTCCAGCTGCTGCTGTCTGACCGGTGCAGCAGCTGTAGCCTGACCAGGCTCCATGTTTGCTCTGTGCTCAGACATCCCCGAGGAGTGGACCCAGCGCTGGAGCGGAGACTTCCAGCTCAACCCGGACCTCCAGCTTCCAGCTGAGAACCGATTCATCGGTCAGTTAGTTACTTCACTTTTATTCCTCCAGATCAATTCCATAACTTTATCCCACCGGATGTGTTCAACTGGAGTTGTTCCACTCGTATTACAGTCAGAGCAAATACTTTGGGTTTCTCATTAGCTGTCCAAATGTGGACTTTCAGAACCACAGTGTCTTAAACCAGACCCCACGCAGAGAGAAAACATTGTACAGAAGTAACCCGGCCAACATTCAGGGATTCCATCTTCTTTTTCTTGCTCCAGCAACGGATTTCACCCTGAAAACAGCGGACTGCCCGGACACCGAGTTTCCCGTCAGGATTGTGACCAGTGAGCGAGGCAGTCTGTGGTACAAGAAGGACAACAAGTTCAAGATCCCCAAAGGTCAGTCCTCTGCTGGATCTGGGCTCACCCTGTAGGACCCAGAGGAGCCAGCCCACCTCCCCCCGCACCACAGCTCCAAACAAAGGGGCCTGAGGTTTCCGTTGCTCTGTTTGTCTGTAACTTCTGTCCACGGTTGTGTTTCAGCCTACATCCGCTTCAACCTGATTTCCCCACTGATCCAGGAGAGTCCTGAAAAGTAAGACACACACAGAACGTCCTCCGCTCAGCCGATGAGTTCTGGGTCCAGCCTGGACTAACATGAGCTCCTCCTCCCTCAGTCTGGTTCTGTTTGACATCTTTGTCAACATCCTGGCTCACAACCTGGCAGAACCGGCCTACGAGGCCGACGTGGCCCTGCTGGACTACAAACTGGTGGCTGGAGAGCACGGACTGATGATCCGCCTGAAAGGCTTCAACCACAAGCTGCCGGTGAGGACCCTGATTGGAGGCTCCTGTCTGTGGTCTGCCACCCGTTCAGACCCCAACAGAAACCTGCTCCCCCCTCCAGCTGCTGCTGAAGCTGATCCTGGACCAGCTGGCAGACTTCAGCACAGAGCTGGGCGTCTTCAACATGTTCGCCGAGCAGCTCAAGAAGGCCTACTTCAACATCCTCATCAAGCCTGACCGGCTGGGCAAGTAGGTGCACGCCGCCTCCGGGTCCATGAGGGCCTAGCGTGGATCCTGGAAACCCTCCGATGTTCAGATCTGGGTTTGGAATTAGGTCCCACCCACCTGAGGGCGTGTCCGAGCAGAGCTAGTGGGTCTGGCCCCCCCCGGCCCTGCCGGGCCCTGCTGGGCCCCCCGGCCCTGCCGGGCCCTGCTGGGCCCCGCCCCTACAGGTGCCTAACCCCCCCCTGTGTGGCTCAGAGACGTGCGCCTGCTGATCCTGGAGCACAGCCGCTGGTCGGTCATCCAGAAGCAGCGGGCGCTGGCCGGGGGCCTGACCGTGGACCAGCTCATGGAGTTCGTCACGGAGCTGAAGGCCGAGCTCTACGCTGAGGGGCTGGTTCAGGGCAACTTCACCAGCGCGGTGAGAAGCGCACGCACACACGTGCACAGAGTTCCCCGGTCAGCACTACCCTTTTCCAAAAATCCACCAACTCAGGACATTCCCGTACACAATGGATCAAAGAACCTGTAGTCTGTTTAATGAGAACTGTGAGGAGTCACTGATCTGAGCGTTGTCATTTCCTCCAACAGGAGTCCAAAGAGTTCCTGCAGTGCCTCACAGAGTGAGTATCTCCTCTGATTGGCTGCTTCCTCTTTCCTCCTCAGGCTGTCTGCTCCAGCAGGGCTACATATTTAACCGGCCTGTCTCAATCTGGGCTCTAGCTTCCTGCCATTAAACGATGATCACCTGGTATTCAAAGCAAACCCACACCAACCAGAACTAGAGATTTAAAACACAGAATACTCTGTCAGAACATTTTCATCTGACCTCTCAGAGATGCTCAGACTCAGCTGGTGGAGGGTCGGCTGTTTGAAAGGAGCAGAATGTGGAGGAGAGCCAGTTATTAGACCAGTCCCGATAAAGAGCTGTGCTGATTGGCTGATGTCTGTCCCATTCACACGTCCTCCTGCTGTGTGCAGGAAGCTGCAGTTCCAGCCTCCCCCTGCAGAGGTCCCCGTGCTTTTCCGGGTGGTGGAGCTGCCCCAGAAGCACCATCTGTGTAAAGTCAAGTCTCTGAACAAAGGAGACGCCAACTCTGAGGTCACGGTCTACTTCCAGGTGAGGGGGCGGTGCTCCGGGCCCGGCCCACACTCACCTGGGGGGACTAACTGCTCTCTGTGTTGCAGTCGGGGCTGAGGGGGCTCAGGGAGCACGCTCTGATGGAGCTGATGGTGGTGAGTACCCCGGAGCGGCTCTCACTCCCCTGTTCTGTGCACTCTGCTGGGTTCTGAAGCCGGGGCTGTGTTTCAGATGCACATGGAGGAGCCCTGCTTTGACTTCCTGAGGACGAAGGAGATGCTGGGGTAAGAGCCTCCTCTGGTCCCGAAGCTCTGAGCACCACTTCAGATCAGCCAGTCTTTAACACCATGGGCTTTCCATTTCCACCTTCCTTCTGTTTGATATTAACTTAAAAGGGTTCTTGTCACATCTGTTTTGGCCCCGTGTGACACATTTTTGGAGGTGTGTTTCTCGTGAAGCTGAGCTTCTGATTGGCTGCTGCCCCTGAACTCCCTCTGCAGGTACCAGGTGTACCCGGCCTGCCGGAACACCTCGGGGGTGCTGGGGTTCTCCATCACCGTGGAAACGCAGGCCTCCAAGTTCAGGTGAGCCCACCTGTGTGAGCAGGGCGGGGTTCTGCTCGCCCGGTGGCCTGGGGGTCCCTGAACGCCTCTTCCTGCTCGCAGCTCAGAGTTCGTGGAGGGGAAGATCGAGGAGTTCCTGGTGGGCTTTGGGGAGCGTCTGGGGGCTCTGAGCCAGGACGCCTTCCACACGCAGGTGACCTCCCTCATCAAGCTGAAGGAGTGTGAGGACGCCCACCTGGGGGAGGAGGTGGACCGGAACTGGTTCGAGGTCATCACGCAGCAGTACGTCTTCGACCGGCTCTACAAAGAGGTGAGGGGGTGCCACCGGCTTAAGCTTCATCAGAGGAGCTCACAGGCCCTCCGATTGGCTGCCGGGGGCTCAGGGTGGGAGGGGTTGGGTGTAGCCTGGTCCTGATCCCATATCTGGATCCGATCGGCCAGCAGGAGTAAATGCAGATCCAGACTCCAGATCCAGTTTTTATTTATAGTCTGATCCCACCAGAGCATTAGCATTAGCATTAGCATCTGTAACCACAGGTCTGTGTGCTAACCATTAAGTTGTTATCAGAGTAAATCCCTGTTCAACATAAGTCTGACAACTAAGTAAGTAGATAAATAACTTTAAAAAACTTTAACACATGCTCTGATAGGCCGGGATCAGATCAGAAAGCTGGATGGGGACATCCCTAGTTGGGGGGGGCGCCGGCTTTGGTTCTGACTCTGGGGTGTCTGCTGCAGATCGAGGCCCTGAAGGTCTTCACTAAGGAGGAGCTGGTCTCCTGGTTTGAGGAGCACCGGGGAGAAGGCAGCAGGAAGCTCAGCGTGCACGTGAGTAGGCCGGCGCCGGCGGGCTGACCGGCCCCGTCCAGGCCGGGAGCTCCGGTCCGGCAGGTCGGTGCCTGACCTCTGTCTCCGGTCAGGTGGTGGGTTTCGGGGAGAAGGAGGAGGACCCCACGGCTCAGAGCGCCGGCGGCGGCGGTCCGGATGAGGCGCCCTCCTCGGCCTACGGGGAGGTCAGCGCGCTGACCTTCCTGCCGGCCTCGCCGGCGTTGCAGGAGGCCACGCCCATCACTGACATCAGAGCGTTCACTTCCTCCTGCACCCTGCATCCCTACCACAAAGTCCTCAGCTAGGCCCCGCCCCCTGCCGCCATGTCGGGGGTAACCACGGCAACGTGGGGTCCGGGGAGCGGCCGTCTGTCCGGTGTTGTTTCTTGTCTTTGTAACGACGCTGCGTTCACTTCCCGTGGGAATATGCTGTGACGGCACCTCTCCCGGGCTCTGGTTGGCCAGAATCTGTCAGGCAGAGCCAATCAGACGAGCCGTGTGGGGTCAGAGGTCAACGGGCAGTGAACGCAGCCTGCTGACTCAGGGCTTTGCTGTGAAATAAAGGCAGGTGATGCTCACCTCAACAGGCCTGTGACTCTCTGATGAAAACAGCAACAATATATGCAAGACATATATATATATATTTATAAACATACATATATGTGAGTAACAGGCATGAAAACAATGAAGGGTCCATGAAAATAAAGTGACAGCAGCACTGAGGAGCAGCTCCTCTCAACTAGAAATATTTAGAGAGGATCCCCTTAGCCCCAGCAGTCTGGCTGTGGGGGCTGGGGCCGAACGGGGGCCGGCCGACCTCAGAGCTGCGGATGCTGGTCAGCCCAGATGTTTCACGGGCCACGCTGGCCTCTGACGTCATCGCGCTTTTGAGCGACTCCGAAGGCGCCATCCAGACCACCACACCACTTCCGGGATGAGTCACGTGGGGTGTCCCGCCTGCGTGCAGACTGACAGAACTTCGGGAAATGTTTCCTGATCGCCCCATCGCCATGTTGCTCAGGTACCGAGCTGCCGGGCCAGAAGTTCGGCTCGGCCCGGTCCGCATCCTCCGCTGACCCACACCCGCTGGACAGAGCTCCGTAAGGGGTCCTGAGCTCCGTAAGGGGTCCTGAGCTCCGGGGGAGTCCTCAGGGAACTTTGCTGTTTTCTCCTCTGTGTCTTTTCAAATAAAAGTACTAATTCTGACGAACAGAACCCAGAACCGGTGCAACGCTCCCACAAAGGTCCTGATCCAGGTGAGACCCGTTCTAGCTCCGGGACAGACTCACAGACTAAAGGCGGCTGAGAAAGCTGCTTTTATGCTGTTCTTTAAAAACTCTGAAACAGCTTCATGTGCATGTAGCATGACTCGTTTAAAGGTTTAGTCACTAAAAGAAACTAAAGGTTTGTTTTGTTTTCACTCAGAATTTCGCCCCAAATAAGATCAAAAAGACTGAACAAGCCTTTAATACATGTCCATGTTTTGTATTTTTATTTGTTCATTTACTTTTTTAAGGTTCAGAGCGCCTTTCTACAAAGGGCTTTAAGGTAATGCATTCACACACACACTAACATATCGGGGAAGCAAATAAGCACCAACTTTTAACTTTTAAAGTGATGATTCTAAATGTTTCCTCCTATTTTTAGGATATAAGCAAGCACCAAACCAGCATCTGCACTTTTAATGCTGAGTGTTTTCAGCTACTAATGCGAGTAACGCTATTAGTGTAATATAGATATTGAAATATAGAAATTTAACATGTAATCTGTGTCCATAATAACCAGATCCTGAAAAGTAGATGTGACTTGAGGGTTTTCTGGATAAAGAGCACAAACATTTACATTTAACAGATTTTGATGAATAGTTTTTAAATTCACATTGATAATAGATAGATAGATAGATAGATAGATAGATAGATAGATAGAGAGAGATCATGTTTATATACATACAAACATACATGGGTGGAGGCATTAGCCAGACTGTGGAAAATCAGGCTACATAAACGTTTATGCAAACAATATATCGGCGACATGCAGCAATACGCCGACAGCTGCACGTATCAGCCCAGTTTGGGATGGATTGCGCAATCAGAGGTTCGGCTCGGCTTGTTGCTTCCGCACCTCACGTTTCACCCCGTATTTCAACAGAAAATATGCATTTTTTTCCGCGGAAACGGGAGAACTCTAAGACGCGGAAAACTGCAAGTCGCTGGGTATCCTCTTGAAAGAGTCCAGTGATACCAGATCTCTCAGTTTAAGGTCTTCTTGTAGCTCATTTCAGGAAACTGGAGCCGTGAACTGAAGCAGAGACTGAAGGAGACCTTTGTGGTCTTCCAGGTAGAGATGAAATCCTAACATCCAAACGGGGCTGCTCAGAGAGATGCTGGGCGGGTGCTCTGGAAACTGTAAAATGGTCCTTCCTCACGTCAGTTCCTTAAGGAGTTAGTTCAGCTCTGATCCGTCTTGAAATGTTTTTCTTATGTTTTGCTGTCTTGGTTTCTTTTTCAGGTGGTCAAAATGAGTGGATCAGAAATTGAGACGTGGACCGCAGAACAGGTCCACCAGTGGCTCCTGACAGAGGTCAAAGTTCATCCGGACTGTGCAGACAGGTTCACTGAAGAGGAGGTCATGGGGGAGAGTTTGGTTTTGTTCGAGAAGAAAGACATTTTGGACATGGGGATAAAGCATGGCCCTGCAGCTAAGATACTGTGTTATCTAAAAACTGTGAAAGCAGGTGGGGGGCATCAGTCGGAGTTTCCTGCGTACGTTGAAACTTGGACCAAGGAGCAGGTGGCGCTCTGGTTACAGCAGCACGTGAAAGTGTACGCTAAGTATGCAGATTGTTGCCTGAAGGAGGACGTGTCCGGAGACTGCCTTGTTTGCTTCAGCAAGCAAGACTTTCTGGACCTGGGAGTGAAAAGTGGTCCAGCTGTGAAGATCCTGGGAGAACTTCGCCAGCTGAACACAAAACCGGAGCCCCAGCTGGAACCCGGAACACACCAAAGGGAAGCCCCAAAGCCCGAGCCAAGCGTGGCCAAACCCAGCCAGAAGCAGCCAGAACCTCAGACAGTGCCACCCAGAAGAAAGGAGCTGGGAGGTGAATCCAGACCGACTGGGCGGAAAGAAAAGGAAACATCTGCTGTGGAGGTAAAGATGTTTATTCTACATGATGGGGTCCAGCAGCTGAAAAAAAATCCACGACATTTAACATTTTACCTGAAGCATCTGAAGCATCGTCCAGGAGTTAGACCTAGTGATGTGTCCCTCCATATCCAGGCCTATGTGGTGACGTTTGAAGCGTGGCAGCAGGCCGTACCATGTGACTGATTCAGGAAGTGGTTTGCGGTTCGGTGGTCTATTTGAAATATAAGAGTCAGTAAAACGCAATGGATCCCCCCCCACATTTTGTTGACTTGGGACTTGATTACCTCTTAATCCTCCCTGGGAAGGTCTATTCGGCGATCCTGGAGAGGAGGGTCCGTCGGATAGTCGAGTCTCGGATTGAGGAGGAACAGTGTGGTTTTCGTCCTGGCAATGGAACGCTGGACCAGCTCTATACCCAGCGGGGTCCTGGAGGGTGCATGGGAGTTCACCCACCAGTCCACATGTGTTTTGTGGACTTGGAGAAGGCGTTCGACTGTGTCCCTTGGGGTATCCTGTGGGGGGTGCTCCGGGAGTATGGGGTACCTGGCCCTTTGTTACGGGCTGTTCGGTCCCTGTACGACCAGAGTCAGAGCTTGGTCCGCATTGCCGGTAGTAAGTCGGGTCCGTTTCCGGTGGGAGTTGGACTCCGCCAAGGTTGCCCTATGTCTCCGGTCCTGTTCAAAACTTTTATGGACAGGATCTCTAGGCGCAGCCGAGGTGTTGAGGGTGTCAGTCTTGGTGGCCTTAGGATCGCGTCTCTGCTTTTTGCACGAGATCCCGGATACAAGCGGCTGAAATGAGTTTCCTCCGCAGGGTGGCTGGGCTCTCCCTTAGAGATAGGGTGAGAAGCTCGGCCATCCGGGGGGGCTCGGAGTAGTGGCAGGGGAGAAGGAAGTCTGGGTTTCCCGTCCAGTGTTACCTGTGGTAACTTGTCCTAACCTGTCCAGGAGTTAGACCCATCCTGTGTGTTACATGTGTTTAACAAGATCTCTGTCCTCCTGCAGGCCGCACCAGCAGGAAGTGACATCACAGTGAAGATCCAGAGGGTCCTGGGAGGCCTTCTGGAAAAAGACCTGAAACTTTTTCATTTCTACTTGAGAGGACACAAAGAACCCGGGACAGAACCTTTTTCTGCGGGTGAGCTGGAGAAGAAGGATTCGGTGGACACAGCTGTGTTACTGAGGGACCGCTATGGAGCAGCAGCCCCATGGGTCACAGCAGAAACTCTGAGCGAAATCGGCCAGCAGAACCTTGCCCTTCAGCTGGAGCAGCACATCAGTAAGTGTGATAACGTCATTCACTCTTCAGTTAGGGATTTCTGAAGGTAGATGTCAAAGTCCATCATTAAATAGCTGGACATCTTAAAAGAAAGGATTAATAGTGGAGTAAAGGGAGGACTGGCCACAAAGTTTGTGTGGAACAGAAAGTCCCAGCAGGGAGGTTTGATAGTGTGAGGACCGGGCCTGCAGGCCTCTGATTGGTCAGGGTGGATGAACCATCACCTCCATGTTGGCTCACCCACTGACGACGTCACAGAGCGGAGTAAATCCAGAGAGAAAACTGATCCAATCAGGTCTTCAGACGAGCCCTAAATGGGCTGTAGAGTCCTGGTCCACTTCCTGGTCGACACCTTCTGGGTCGACCATAATCTTGATCAGTCAACCGCTTTGCCTGTTTATTTGATCCAGTCTGTGGTTAATGTCATCAGCAGGAAGGTACCAAGTGTTAACGGGGGGGGGGGGGGGGGGGGGTTCAGAGCAGCTCTGTTGCCTAGGTAACAGCCTGTCTTGGCAGAACCCCCCCTTGTTTTCACTCTTGGATCAGCCCAACACTCCACAGACAGGTTCACCTCCTTCACGGCCGGTGTTTCAAGTTGTATTTTTCAGGAATGCACAGTATTATTTAGTTTGCACTGACTGACTCGTGGCGTTGATGTTCCAGGTCAGCTGGAGCAGCAGCATCCTTCTAGAGACGTTCTGAGGACGGAGACACACCAGGGACACAAACTAAAGACCCTGCTCACTTGTGGTGGGAGCTCACTCGACAGCTATGACAGATTTGTTGTTGTGGTCAATAGGAGCAGTCCGGAGCAGGTGCAGTACCTCCAGTTCCTGAGCAGGTTGGACCTGTTCTGTGTCTTGGACTTTGACCCGAACTCTGTTTGTCCTGGTGGACTCTGCCACTCTTACAAGGAGTTGCGGGTGGCTAACCTGCACACTCCGGCTCAATTTCAGGGACAGACAGAGGCCGTCATAAAAAAACTCAACCTGTTCAAACAGACCAGCTGGATCTTCTGCAACGGCAGACACGACCTGGACAGCGACCCAGACAAAGAGCTGGACTACAGGAGCTGGCTCAGGAAGAGGTGCAGGGACGTGGAGCAGCTGGTGTCTTTCATCTGCAGCCCTGACGTTTTCCCACAGGGAAGGTGTCTGATCATATTCCTCCTGCTGTCTGCCCTGGACTCCGAGAAGAACCCGCTCTTTGATACCTACAAGTCTTTCATAAAGAACACTGAGGAGGCAAACATCATCAACCTTTGCCACTCCAGGAAAACTTATTTGAAATGGAAGGAGCTGATACAAGAAAAGTGCGACTTTGACATCGACCATCTGTCCATATACGATCTCTCTCTGAGTGAAATCAACGGTACGATCATGGGACTGGGCCCACAGAGTCAGGCCTCTGCCAGGCTGCTTCCCTCCGCCGGCTCCAGCGCTGTTGTTCTGACGAAAAAGGACGAGGACCTGCTGACAGCTCTGGATGTTTTATGTCTGAATGAGTGTGAGAACGTTTACGACGAAAGCAGCACAGAGTTTAAGAAATTTAGAGTCGAAGTTGAGGAGAAATTCTACAGAGGAGCCCAGGTCAGGTGGTGGAACTTCTACTTCTGTGACAGAGACAAAGAACAGCCATTTATCAAGAGGGACAAGTATGAGCCTGTGAAACGGATGGTCCGATCGCAGCGGGACTCAAAGGAGGCGTGTGTTCTGCTCAATCTGTACCATGCTCCAAGCTGTGGGGGAACCACCTTAGTCAAGCATGTGATGTGGGACCTCCGTCACGAGTTCCGATGCACTGTCCTGAAGGACAAGACTCTGCCCAAAGCCGAGGTTTCCAGCCAGGTGAGACATCTGATGAAGCTTGAGAGCGAGAAGCTGTGTCCCGTCTTACTGTTAGTGGACGACTCAAAGGAGACGGACCTCTACGACCTGGTGACCTGCATACGGCAGACTGTGGAGGACTTCACAAGCATGACGGTGGATGCCCAGAACTGCCAGGTCATCGTCCTGAACTGTGTCCGTTCCCAGACCCCAAAGGACCTCTTCAGACAAAACAATCAGACGAAAAACCAGTTCATGACTGATAAACTGACCCAGCAAGAGCAGATGGACTTTGATAAGAAACTTTATGATCTCAAAGAAACTCACGAAAAACCGGAAAGCTTCTACAGCTTCATGGTCATGAAGAGCAATTTTGACAAAGAATACACCCGGAAACTTGCTCGGGACACGCTGGAGAACTTTGAGTTCAGCTCAAAGGAGGGCCGGCTCTTTGGCTTTTTGGCCCTACTGAACACATATGTGGCCAAATCGGAAATGGCCCTCTCTCTCTGTGAGGACTTCTTTCAGATGAAAGTGCTCCGCCTGCCAGAGGACAGTGTTCTGGACAGAATGAAACCTCTGTCCAACCTCCTCATCGTGGACAGAGTTGAGGACTGGGGGGGATACAAAGGAGTCCGGATCCTCCATCATGCCATAGCCTCCGCCTGCCTGGATGAGCTGGAGGGCAGCTACTCCCTGAAAGCCAGTGACATCGTCATGGAGATGCTGCATTGTGACCTGTTCTTCAGCTCTGGGGTCGTGAAACACAGACTGACGCTTGCGATTCAGCGAATGTTGATTGAGAGGCAACGAAAGAAAGACGTGGATGAAAGGCAGCTCTTTTCTCTCCTCATTGACAAAGTCCACAGCCAGGAGGGACGGCAGGCCGTCCAACAGATCCTAGAGGAAGCCTCAGCCAGGTTTGAGACCAGCGCGTCCATCCCTCAGGCACTGGCCAGATATCTGTACAAATATGTGCGCGACTTTCCAGAAGCTCTGAAGTGGGCAGAAAAAGCCAAGAACGTGAAAGAAAACATTTTCACCAATGACACCATTGGACAAGTGCATAAAAGCAACTTAAGGTCAAACATGGACCGAGAGAAGCAGGAGACCTCCCACAGCCCAGAGGACTTGCAGAAAAACCTTGAGGTCGCCATGAAGGGAATGAAAGCTTTCCACAGGGCTCAGGAGCTGGCTGACCGGGAAGACGAGCCGCAGGAGGAAATGCCCGACGACGACTCTGAGGATTATCCCAGAAACTCTTACAACTATTACGGAAATGTGAGCATGCTGGAGATCGCTTTGCTGGTCTTTGAGATACTCAGCAGGTTGCCTTTCTTTGAAAAACACAACCCCATGAAGAAAAAGTACTTACAGAGTTTTCTGGGAGGAAAAATTCCAATCACAAGTGTTTACAAAGAGAACAGTGAGATCAACAACAAGTATGTTGATATCATAAGAGAACACCACCAGTTTCTTGTTGACCTGAAATCAAAAGTCAAAGAACTGTTTGAGAATCTGAACTGTTACTTCACCTACATCAAAGTGAACTCCAAATTTGACATGATGAATCACAGAACTGTTTCTGAGAACTTTAAGAAGTACGTCGAGTTGTTCTGCACCACACCAGAAGAGAGGAGAGAGGAACAGGAAAACAAGTCCAGCCTCAACCTGAAACTGGACATCGAGGAGCGAAAGTTGTTTCTTGAGAGGAACCAAGCAGATACTTTCTCAGGAATTCTTCAGCATCTGGACAAACCTCCCGAAGAGGTGGAGAGGATCACAGAGTGCTACGCGTTCCTACAGGGGAAAATAGACAACCAGAGACAACGCACACAGATGCAAATTAATTATGTCCTGTCCAACATTGTTCTCTATCACTTGAAACCAAAATCGAAACATGTGAAGAAGTACAGAGATCTCCGCATTCTCCTTAACGAAATTTTACAAGATGTTGGACTGAACCACCTGTTCCCAGACCCATACTACCTGGCCCTACTGTTATTCTGGCCAAGTCCTACTGAGAACAATACCGAAATCCCTAAATATGTCTCACTAATCCGTAAATCATCCCACAAGAACCTGTACAAGTTATTTCAGAGGAGAAGCACTATTGCCCACTTCTACTTGGGGAAAGAGGAGGGTCTGAAGAGGCTTTTCTCTAAACCATCCCTGGATGCAGACTTTCTGCCGGAGCTCCGGCGGGATGCATTGGCACAGCTTTGGAGGAACGGAGACATATTCAAGGAGGAAGCAATTGTCCGCCGGCTTCACCGTGTCCGTGGAACAACCGAGCAAGGAGAAGTGTATGCCAACTATGGTACTCAGAAAATCCCAGTGCGCCCAGCGCACATTGGTGGGATCAGAAGTGGATTCAGCACAGAGAAGGTGTCTTTCTTTATTGGATTTGCTATTAACGGACCCCTTGCGTACGATATCAAGTATGAAAACTAGAGCAAAACAGATCACCAGCCTGCAAAATGTGTCCTGGTTAAATCCAACTCTGATTCTAAACTGAGACAGGATGCTCCTCAATCAGAGAATGTTCTGACCAGTGGCGGCTGGCCTATAGGGGGCGCTCGGGCGCTGCCCTACCTAGATGTGGAGGGGAAAAGTCATAATATATATATCATTTAAAAGTATTATCAATGTCAGTTTTACTTAATAGTATGTGGCTACATGTAAGATGAATTATTAAAACAACACTTCCACCAACTGACTCCCATTCAACAGAGCGTTTCCACCCACAGAACGTATCGTTTCTCTTCAGGGGCACTAGCCCCAAGCGCCCCTGAAGTGCAGCAAAATAACCAATTGAATAATGTTGCTAGGGAAGATTAGTAAATATTTGTCCAATCAGCATCGCCAAAATTAATGGTTTGGGGCGCCCGAAACTGGCGCCCCTGCTACAGTGATACAGGTGATGTAGCTAGTGGTCAGTCAGGCTGTGACGTAGAATTGATGAAGAGCAGCTTTCACACAACTCGGTGAGATCTTTAGTGAGCTCCCCTTTCGTGAGAAGGACGATGGTGGAACATTTCAATGTAAAGGAGCTGGGACCTGACAGCCCGAAATACATTTAACGCAGCGAACCAATGAAAAAGCTAAGTCCTACAGCCGGCCTTTTAACAGAAGCTGGTTCCAGCCTAAGTCCTGGCTGACAGCCGGTGGGACGGCCAATGCACTTTTATGTTTTTCCCGCATCCTTTTAAAAGTGACCGGAGTGATTTGAGATGGACACAGTCTGGACAGGCAGACTTAAAACACCTCTCTGAACTACTAAGAAACATGAAATATCACGAGTTCATATGGAACACTGTGTTAAGCTAACCGTGTTAAGCTAACCTCCTGTGTGCCTACTTTGTGTGTTCGGTGACAAATGGTAAAATTGAGTGTTGTATTTCATACTGTTCCTTTCCAAAATCGGACCTAATATAGCTGTAAATGGTTAACTGTATATGTAAACTTCTGATTCTGATAAGGGATTTAAATCCTTATTGTGGAATTGTAGTAATTTACCGATTTTTAATTTGAATGCATGTAATAGGTTAGAAAGGGAAATCTATTGGCACACCAGCCCCACCAAGATTATTTTTTACTCTACTCTTTTTGGAAGAGTAGAGCAGAAGCCATATGTTCCATTTAACCTGAGTAGTGTTGTGTTTGGATGTTACCATTGCAGAGTTAAAGAATAAATACAATTGAATGGACTTTTGGGACACGTATATATTATATACATATATATCATATATATATTTATAGCATGCTCCTCTTACTATTAAAGTTATTGTATATGTATTGTTATATTTTCAAGGAAAATTTTATTTCAACAATAAAACTTTGCACTTAAAAAAAATGTATATTCATTTTGATACTACATATTCATGAGTACAATATAGAGTACAATACACTGAGTTACTGGGTTTTAGAGATTAAGACATCATTGTTGGGGAGATATGTATGTATGTCTATATTTTTTTTACATATATATGTATATAAATACATTTACATATATATATTTATGTGTATACATGTATGTATATGTACAGTATATACATTATGTATTTACGTATATGTATATATTTATGTGCATATGTACACATGCATATATGAATTGTGTGTATATATATATGTGTACACATATATTCTTGTGTTTATATGTATAGATATATAATTTTGTACATATATGTTTATATATGTATGTTTATACATATATATATAAATATATATATAATGTATATATATTCATGTATGTGTATATACAGGGGTTGGACAATGAAACTGAAACACCTGGTTTTGGACCACAATACTTTATTAGTATGGTGTAGGGCCTCCTTTTGCAGCCAATACAGCATCAATTAGTCTTAGGAATGACATATACAAGTCCTGCACAGTGGTCAGAGGGATTTTAAGCCATTCTTCTTGCAGGATAGTGGCCAGGTCACGACGTGATGCTGGTGGAGGAAAATGTTTCCTGACTCGCTCCTCCAAAACAACCCAAAGTGGCTCAATAATATTTAGATCTGGTGACTGTGCAGGCCATGGGAGATGTTCAACTTCACTTTCATGTTCATCAAACCAATCTTTCACCAGTCTTGCTGTGTGTATTGGTTCATTGTCATCCTGATACACGGCACCTCCTTCAGGATACAGTGTTTGAACCATTGGATGCACATGGTCCTCCAGAATGGTTCGCTAGTCCTTGGCCCATCTAGCACAAGTATGGGGCCAAGGGAATGCCATGATACGGCAGCCCAAACCATCACTGATCCACCCCCATGCTTCACTCTGGGAATGCAACAGTCTGGGTGGTACGCTTCTTTGGGGCTTCTCCACACCGTAACTCTCCCGGATGTGGGGAAAACAGTAAAGGTGGACTCATCAGAGAACCATACATGTTTCACATTGTTCACATCCCAAGATGTGCGCTCCTTGCACCATTGAAGCCAACGTTTGGCATTGGCATGAGTGACCAAAGGTTTGGCTATAGCAGCCCGGCCGTGTATACTGACCCTGTGGAGCTCCCGATGGACAGTTTTGGTGGAAACAGGAGAGTTGAGGTGCACATTTAAATCTGCTGTGATTTGGGCAGCCGTTGTTTTATTTTTTTTGGATACAATCCGGGTTAGCACCCGAACATCCCTTTCAGACAGCTTCCTCTTGCATCCACCGTTAATCCTGTTGGATGTGGTTCGTCCTTCTTGGTGGTATGCTGACATTACCCTGGATACTGTGGCTCTTGATACATCACAAAGACTTGCTGTCTGGGTCACAGATGCACCAGCAAGACGTGCACCAACAATTGGTCCTCTTTTGAACTCTGGTATGTCACCCATAATGCTGTGTGCATTGCAATATTTTGAGCAAAACTTAGCTCTTTCCATGCTAATTGGACCTTTACAGTCTGCTCTTATTGGTTCAATGTGCAATTAATGAAGATTGGCCACCAGGCTGGTCCAATTTAGCCATGAAACCTCCCACACTAAAATGAGAGGTGTTTCAGTTTCATTGTCCAACCCTGTATCCTGAAGGAGGTGCCGTGTATCAGGATGACAATGCACCAATACACACAGCAAGACTGGTGAAAGATTGGTTTGATGAACATGAAAGTGAAGTTGAACATCTCCCATGGCCTGCACAGTCACCAGATCTCAATATTATTGAGCCACTTTGGGGTCTTTTGGAGGAGCGAGTCAGGAAACATTTTCCTCCACCAGCATCACGTCATGACCTGGCCACTATTCTGCAAGAAGAAAGGCTTAAAATCTCTCTGACCACTGTGCAGGACTTGTATATGTCATTCCCAAGACGAACTGACGCTGTATTGGCCGCAAAAGGAGGCCCTACACCAGTGTTTTTCAACCACTGTGCCTCGGTACACTAGTGTGCCGCGAGTGATGGTCAGGTGTGCCGTAGAAAATCATCCTATTTCACCTAAATGGTCTAAAAAGATTTTTTGATAAGTAATTAATTATTTGCAAATAATTTTTGAGTGTCTGTGCGGCCGTAATGACTGGTGGCGTAATCATGTAATAATTCCTTATGACTAGATTTTGTATATAATTGTGTATATTGAAGTGGACATGTTAAGAGTAATTTAAAAGAAGAAATATAAAACATGATACAAATATTTTTGTTTTATTTATTTGATTCCTATTCAAGACACTTAAGATAAGATAAAAATAAAATAAGAATAACTATAGTGTTACTATAGGCGGCTACAGATTTGTTTGACATTTTTGGTTGGTGGTGTGCCTCGTGAGTTTTTCAATGAAAAAATGTACCTTGGCTCAAAAAAGGTTGAAAAACACTGCCCTA